CGACCCCTATAAGGCTTTAGGAATAAACCTTTGCCCTTTTTACATGTTTTCTTATTATTTTTTACCATTTTTATTATATAAAAAATGTCTTTTATTCAACAAAAACACAAATTTAAAATAGTACATACTAAGGAAAATATACCAAAGAAGTTGGGTCTTTTTCCTACCAATATTCGATGTGTTATTTGCGGTCCAAGTGGAAGTGGGAAGACGGTTGTAATTTATAACTTAATTGTAAGAAAGGAAGGATTAAAATTTACAAACTTATATTTAATATCTAAATCATTAGAACAAGAGAAATATAAAAAAATAATTGAAATATTTAGTTTGTGTGATGAAGTGAAATTACACACGTTTACTGACTGTGAAATCACACCAAATGATGTAAAATCACAGTCAGTTGTTGTATTTGATGATATAAATAGTCCAAATATTACACAATTTTTCTCAATGGGTCGACATAAAAATATTAACAGTTTTTACTTGTGTCAATCTTACAGCAAAGTACACAAACATTTACGTGATAATGTAAATTTCCTAATATTATTTAAACAAGATGATTTGAATTTAAAACATGTATATAACAATCATGTTGGTAATGATTTTTCATTTAACCAATTTAGAAATCTCTGTCATCAATGTTGGGATAAAACTAAATATGGCTTTTGTGTAATAGACAAAGAAAGGTTAAAGAATAATGGCAAATATAGATTTATGTTTGATCAATTTTATAATGACCAAGTGCAAGAGTATTGATACCATCTTCCAGAATAAACCTCTTGTCATCGTCAAAGGATAGTACTTTCTTATTCATGGTCAAGGTTTGAAGATGATGATTTGTAGATTTAATTCTTGTCACATTCTCATAGTAATCTTGCCCAGTTGCAAGGCAGTTCAAATAATGTTGATGTCTAAGGAGATGTTTAACAGTGGCACCATCAGCTCCTTTAGCTTTCTTCACCTCTAAAGCTTGCTTGTCTTCTTCATATAACCATTTTAGAGGAATGTAAGAATATAACTTTGGTCTTAAACCACAATATTCATACATAATATGACCATCTAATTCGTCTTTAAACTTGCCAGTGACTTTTTTATTTTTATCAGAGTATAAGAAATGGTCTTTACTATATCCAGAGGTATCAAAATAGTGCAAGTCACTTTCTATTTCCTTGTAAAAGTCCTCTGTAACTATAGAATACATTAAAGAATCTGTATCAGTCATAAGAAATCTTTTGTTCTTAAATTTTGACATATAATTATAGTGGAAATCATACATTATTACTTTACTAATATCCAAAATGGTCATTCCCAAATATATCGGCTTATTAAACTTTACAACTAATTTATTTAAATGTATAGCATGTAAATTGTTATCGAACTTTTTGCTACAGTCAAACCTTGGATTAGTGACATATTTTGTTAATAGTGACTCATCCTTGAGATATATATCACGAAACTTGCGTTGGTTCATAATTGTTCGACCAAAGAGACTATTATTTAACAATTTGTAAAAGTCTTTTTCAAAATCATTTTTAGCACATTTGCGTTTTTCAATATTAAAATTAATATAGGGTGCAAGCCATTTTGATCGTCTAAATTTTAAAATTCTATAGTATTTTGTAGCAACCAAACCTAATTCCTCATATTTTTGTAATGCTTTATAATGTAAAATATATTTAGTTTTGTCATTTAAATTAGGTATTAATTTGCCATTCATTTTCTCAGGTGCTAATGGATAGTCATTATGTAAATCATGTAAGCTTTTATCGTATTTTAAATCAACTTCTAAGATATATCCAAACTCATCATTTTGATTGTTTTTGTAGTCTATCTCATTCGTCCAACGAAATCCATCCACGGGTAGTGTCTCACACATAGCTGTGGAGTATAGCGAGTTACAATCTAAATATATTAATTACACACTTTCTTGATTGGGATCATAATGTTTGCCCATATATCTATTATTGGCTTTAGCGTAACGTGTAGAAATCATACTGACTCCTCCTCTGATTGCACTTTCTATGAACAAATGCATGTCAATATCTTGAAATAATTGTAATTTTATACCAGTCATTCTAAGACAAGCTTCCCATGTTAGTCCTGGAAGTGAATACATATGTACGGGGTCAAGTTTGTAATCCTTTAAACACAGGTCTCTAAATGTCTCAAAGACATCAGCCAGTAGCAATACATCTGTTTTAAGATATAAATCATGATATTCTTGTAAATTATTTATATTAAAATGGGTCCAGACATTTTTAGCATGTTCATATTCATTGGGAGAGATATGTTCTTTAGTTAAAGTACTGTAAAATTTTTCAATTGGAGGTAGAGACTCTGCAAACTTATCTGGTCCTGTCATATATTCATAGGGAAATACACCTTTGCGTTGTAGTAGTGGATTGTCTATGAATCTAAATGTATTTAAATTGGAAGCTAATTTGTATAATGGAAGGGACAGAAAGTTATAGGAATCTAAAAATACTAAATCATCAACAGAGAATGAAATGTACTTTTCCATATCTTTAGCTATGCAATTTAATTTACGATTAAACTTTCCCAAGTGTTGCATTATTAAATGTCCATCATAATTTTTCAAGTTATGGAAGAATACTGGTATTTTCTTTGTTACTTTATAGTTTAAATTACAATCATTGTGGGCAGCTCCACGGTATTGCCCAGAGGAATGGCAATGATCTCTCACCCTATCAAAATATAGGGGCTTTTCACAAATATGACAATGCGTTGAGTTTTTAAAAGATACCTCTTGCTCAGGAGTCATTACTAGGGGAATGTATATTGACATTTGACGTTTAATGAAGTCATAAGTCTCAAACAACCTTTTGAAAACACATCCATAACATTTGCACCACTATATAACTCTTCAGAAATAATCTTAGAATCTCTCACAACAACAAATGCAAATCCAGATGGAGTATGCTTGTTAGAGTTTATAAAGCATTCAAAATCTGCATAAATCACAAATGGAGCTTTAAGTTGATATTTATAATTTTTAAATTGTAATGTATCTTGTTTAGACATTTCCACTCGTTGAGCATCAAAATTTTTACAATATGTTATGTGACGTTCTAATATATCATTAGTGTAAAAATGTTGTAAACACAACTTACAAAAATGCTTCTTATGGTCATCTTTTGTAGAGTGGAACATTAACTTATCAAAATCACGAATTAAACAGTAATGTGATTTACGACCTTCTTGTAATAACAATAGATCTACATGAGTATCACTATTTAGTTTGGTTGTTCTTAATGGATATATGAATTTCTGGTCTTCAACCCCAAATACATTAACACTTATATTATTTTGTCTTTCAAATTGATCTATATCAGATATTTTTACGGGATACTTTATGTTTGTCATATTTAACTGACTTTCATGTTGTAGATAATTAGAGACCCTTTCAGCATTTTCATTGATACAATTCCTTGGATGTAAAGCTGCTAAAATTGACCAAAGGAAGCATTTATTATCAGCATTTTTTATATTTAAAACTGCATGTTTTGATTGAATAGTTTTTGGTGTGGGAATATATGACTTTGGAGTTAAGGGCTTGTACTTGTAAACATGCAACTGCCAATACTTAGTATAGTCATATATCCATCCACTACCTTGGGCTTGGTATTTGTGTATAGAAGCATCAATCTTTAAAAGTGCATTTTCAATTTGAGACTTTAAATCTCTCTTCTCAATAGTTAAGGTAGTAAGGCTTCTAAAATCTGCAATACATTCTTTTTCATTAACTAATTTTCCATTTTGATCCATTGAATATTTTATAAATTTGATTCTCCTAACTAAAGTCCATTTTATTGGCAGAGGACAAGACTTCAGAGTACTTTCAAGGTCAGCTCTAATCGATTCACCAACAAATTTTATCATTGTGTATGGACATTTCATGCAAGAATTGGCATGTCTTTTAAAATGTCCAACAACATTTCTTTTACAAAAATTACAACTCTTGTGTCTTTGTAATACATGCGACTTTAGAGCCACATTATTATCACAGATTAAATTGCAAACCTTGCACAGTTTCACCTTCATTTGATGAATTACCTTGTAGTGGCGAAACAGGTTACTTTTGGTGGAGAGCGACACGGAGCAGTGTTGACAGGTGGGCCTCATGGTCCAGAATGAAATATCACCCGAATGTCACTTCTATTTATAGACTTTTCAAAATTTCAAAATTTTTTAACCAGAAATTGTGAAATTTTCAAAATTTTCAGCTAGAAATTAAAAAAAATTTAAACAATTTAACTAGAAATTACTTCAACAGGAGGTCACCCACCCAAGGCTTAATCAAGAGCTACCACTAGATTCGAGAAAACCGACCATGAGTCGGGAGCGAGAAGCCTAACCATAGGTCGGGAGCACGCATACATCATGAGCCGGAGCGCGCACGAGTTCGCGTACAAACCTCGATCGATTTTGAGAATATACATGTGAATGGATGTGGATTTGAAATAGTAATAGAGTTGTACAATGGTATTGATCATTTATATAGGCTTGTATTGGTCGAGAGCTGGATTTTTAAAAAAGTGGTCAAAAAAAAGCTCACCATTTCCAGACGTGTTTTTCAGTATTAAAAAAGTAAAAAATTTATATATGGGTGTATAGGTCGAGAGCTGGGTCCTTAAGAAAAGTGGCCAAAAAAAGCTCCTGGGGCTTCGGACATTTTTTTCGCCGAAAATTTTAAAAGTTCTGGGCCAAAAAATGCCGGAAGTGAGGTCATATTGTGGGTTCGCCACTACTCTACATTTACACTTGTAAGGGTCAATAAATGTAAGAAATAGCTTTTTTAGCTTAATATCAAATATATTTATGGGGAATAAGTAAGAAATAAGGTTTGACAATTATATAGGGATATTTAAACAAAGATCAGGATTTTTGGTTTTAGTGGCCAAAAAATGATCCCATGTTATTTCTTATGGGAAAACGTGCCCCAAGTGACTTTAAACCGGTAGTTCGCCACTACTGGTATGGACGACAACGATGTCGCCGTCATCTCAGTGGGCGGAGGATACGCCAACGAGGCGTTCAAAGACGACGGCGACGCTGGACAGAACTTCAGCAAGCCTCCGCCACAAGCGATGCCCACAGACGACCTACCCAAGGGCAAGGTCAAACTGTCCAGGGCGGAGAAGTGGAGGATCCTGAAGAACGTGGCTGCTGTCAGTTTATCATTTATGGTACAGTTCACGGCGTTCCAAGGCACGGCGAACCTCCAGAGCAGCATCAACGCCAAGGAGGGTCTAGGGACAGTCTCTCTGTCGGCGATCTACGCGGCTCTCGTAGTCTCGTGCATCTTTGTGCCTACATTCCTCATCAAGAGACTCACAGTCAAGTGGACGCTTTGTCTTTCCCTGTTGTGTTACGCTCCCTACATCGCCTCTCAGTTCTACCCTAGGTTCTACACCCTCGTACCCGCGGGTGTCCTGCTGGGTCTGGGTGCTGCACCCATGTGGGCGGCTAAAGCCACCTACCTCACCCAAGTAGCCGGTGTCTACGCTAAACTCACCGACCAGACCGTGGACGGCATCGTCGTCAGATTCTTCGGATTCTTCTTCCTCGCTTGGCAAACCGCTGAGCTCTGGGGCAACCTCATCTCCTCTCTCGGTAAGTTTCACACAATTCAGACAAATCGTCGAAGCAATATTCTAAGACTCTTTAAGCTTATTCTTTTGGAGGAAAAATCAAATCATTTTGCGAAACCAAAAACAAATCATACAAATTTTGGACAGTGACAACAAAGTCGTGTATACAAATTAACTTCTTTTAGTTAACCTCCATTATGTTAACCTCTTTATTTTACAAACTTTTGAACCATTATAGTTGCAGCGAACATCTCCTATGTACAACATCTGTAATGTTTGTCTTAAATATGAAACACATTTTGGCTGTTCCACTAAACACCAATAGGCCCAACAGACTAATATACTCATATAGGGCCTACAAGACTAATAATAAAATATTAAATAAACTTATTTTTAGCTTACACATAGTATTCCAACAAATTTGATACCTGATATAATGTGCTGCCTTGTGATATTAAACGTTCGACCTTGATGTGGTGATAGAGGACGTGACTTATCACTAGTAACAGTTAAATAGAACAAAGCAGCGACGCTTGCACTGCTAAAACTTGACAAAATACTAATTGCCCCTTATTTTACAAGCTTATTCATGATCAATAGTCAAACGTTTGAGACTTGATTTACAACTAACTGTACAGTTTCTCTGTATCACCATAGTGTTCCAATAAGTAGTAATTATTTTACGGTTGTAGTTTTTTTTTTCAAAACACTTTTTTGTTCTAGATACGATAAATTACAATAGTCATGTTTCATGATAAAAATCAAATAAGGTTGTTATATAAGAATATTGAGTCACCCCTAAGCGTTGTAAAATGGGACTTTAAAACAATCCTACTACTCCTATAATACTAGTAAATATTATCTGTGGATGTTTTATTCATGCAAATTTGTTTATGAAAATGATTAAAAGTCCCTTATTGACCAACAAAACTAGCGTTATCTACGTTAATTCTAATACTCCAAAGAAATTGGTACCTACTCGTAAGCAGCGACCTCACAGATTTCCCCTATTTCATTTACATCACGTTTACACATTATCCACAGAAATCTCTACAAACATTTCAATGCCGCCAAATAGTCGCACAAAGTCACAATGTGATCGTGACAATTGCAAAGTGTGAAGCAAAACTCGACCTTGCTCCTACAATTCTCATCACCTGAGTGGCGTTAGAGCGGAACGGTGATAGTGCACGCGTGTGTGTGCGTGTGGTTGTTTATAGGTAACCTTGACACCAGATCTAGTGACACCGCTACCGTTACCTAGCTTCTAGCTTATAGCTTTGTATCTTCCTCGTAACTTCCTACATTTATTTCTACTCCTTTCCCTTTGCTTTTTATTCTGGTTCGTATTAAATTTCTCTTTCGTTGCGCCTCTGTTCATGTATCTCACCTGTACGATATTCTAAAGATCTCTCATTTTTTACTGCATAGCATTCTTCCTTACATCCTCTTTGCCATCATGTTTGCAATTCTTTATACTCTAAAAGTTGATTTGCCAAACCAAACATAGCGTAACTACGGTGAACATCAATTAACTTTATAATCAGGTTTTTGTAGACTTGAAACAAGGTACAATTGTGTACGAGTGAATGCGACCTATACTATCTATCTCTGTGCATTACAACAAAAAACTTTGTAAGAATTAAGGTTTTGGTTTAGAAAAATTTCAACTACTCTCATTGAAGAACATATCTATGTTATGTTACCCCACCATTAATAGTAATATTATTTCATTAGTTTATTATAAACCCTAACTAGATAAGTAAGCGCAGTCTTATACGGGTGATATTTTCGCCCGTAGTTCAAAATTGAAGTTATTTTTAACACATCTAAATCACTTATCTTCCAACCTGCGCAAGCATACGATAAGAACCATTTGCGTATGCGTTACAAATGCAATGTTATCAAAGACATGACAGTATATTGCATAACTAAAGTTTGATTTAAAGTATGAAAACGTAAGTTTCGTAACGAGACCCTGAGGTGTCAAGCCATCCCATACACTGCGGGGACAACTGCTGATAATGTCAGTGCAGTAGCCTGTAGCGCCCACTAAACAGTTGCATAATATTGACAAATCAAAAACCATAACACTCAAAGCCCAATCGTCCAATGTGAGAAATATACATACTGACTTGTTCTAAAGTAGTAGCACTAATGAGTTACACGGTGAATATTTTCCCAGTTTTTACAAGTTAATAGTTCAAGAGATTTGTTCAACTGCTTCATTATAATGCAAGTTTATAATGCAAAAGAACAAAGTTCAGTTAGGCCACCATTGGAGTAAGCTGCTTCAAAACATTTCCGTAAACTAATCTGAGAGAGCACAACCCAAACGTTACATTCTTGTTAACTATCACATATTTTACGTCCCTGAAAACTAAAGTATCATGGATATAGACCTAAAAGAGGTAATAGAACAGTAACAGTAGCACATTGCACACTAGCTTAAAATCTCTCATTCAACCATGTTATCTCAGGGAAATAGCTTGATTTCAGTCAGCTGGTCCACAAAAAAGGGATCTCTACTTTGGTATCTAAAGTCAACGGTTTTACTCACAACTAACTTTCAAACAAAACACACTAGTTGGTTGCAGTTACATAATGTACTGAAAAGGAAATCCACCTTTCTCTCGGTTTGTCCGACTCAAATAACGTGATATTTGGACTTTGGTTCATTCAGAAACATAGTTACCTGGTCTTTAACACCTTACACAATTTAATAGATAACCTTGTTGCTAACACTGAATATTTAACGTGCAAATTATAATAACATGAAGTATGAAAAAAGAGTAATTATTTTTTGCTCCTTTTCTCACAAAACGAAAACTGAATTCTCTAGGAAGAACACTCACATCCTTCCAAATGCTACAGTTTTCAAACTTGAAGTACTGTAGTTTAATTTATGTTTCTTCTTCAGTTTTTTCATCCGGCGCCCACGGAGGAGCTTCACATGGCAACGCCACCATCCACACCGAGGCCTCCCTCAGGCATTGCGGCGCAAACTTCTGCACCAATCTCGGAGGCAACGCTAACATTCAGAGACCTCCAGACTCCGAGATCTTCACCATCAGCTCCATCTACCTGGCGTGCATCTTCGTCGCCAGCGCCATGGTCGCCCTCTTTGTCGACCCGCTCTCCAGGTATGTCTGGGGTAAAGTTAGCTGGTGGTTGAATTTACCCACAAAAGTGCACTCTTCCAATAACGATCTATCTTTATTTTGGTAGAAGTCTTAGATTGAAGGAAGAGAATATTGATGATGTATTGTTTCCAGAAATTCGTCTCGTAGAAAGTTAATACTATGAAATGCAATGACTAAGTTGATCAGAAAAGACTATGTGGTAGAGTATAAAAGACTACGCGGTGTATTCCTGTCTATTTACATAGGTAACGATGTACCTAATAAAATCGGCTCAGTCTCACGTACAAGAAGTTATTTTAGTTACCTATTCTATGCCTCTCTGTGAGTTTTACCAACCTACATTATTTTCAAGACACCCTAGAAGATGTAAAAGTAGCAAAATGAATTATATTGGAGTTTGTTGTTATACTCTTGTCACTCAATTGTCTTTTCCTCTTTCCTTTCCTTGTCGTAATATTAGGGTATTCCTTGAGATTAAGTTGCAGACACAACAATAATTCTGCTCATCATCCGTCATGTTTCAATTACTTCTTCTCGTCCATCATTAAAGATAACACTCGCTGGCCGTGACCTAGTCAATTCTATCTCGATGGGTTTTCTTCTATTCAACAAGGTTCCTAAAGACAAGGAAACGTGTTTTTCTTTTTCCTTGTTCATTTTTACTTATTTGTAGGGACAAATAACATAACTAACATAACACAAATAACAGTTATGTGATATAATGTATCTAAAGATGCCTCCTTTATGAGGGACATTTTAATGTACATGACACTGGTTAGTGAAACAGTTGTATCAAGTCCAGTATACCACTTCCTGAACATGTTTAGCGGTGCGTTAAACTAAAAGTGTTTTTCCTAATATTTAATTCGTCCAAGCTTTCTGAAAATACATTTGTACTCAAATCAAAGCAAGATTGTTGCGGGTTCTAGGAGAGGTGTTGAGTGAAAGGTGCAATCATTGCTCTGTGGGGTGTTTTAGTATAAATTGCAAGTCGTGATTCTTTTCTATGTTATTCCCCGCGGTTGGTAACGCTGGTGTCATGGCCCTAGTCTGCACGTTCCTCGTCTACTACACTACATTTACAGGGTGTCCAAGGTCAATTTGGCACGACCACGCAATGTATTTCAGTGATAACGTAGTCGAGAAAGAGGTGTTAACATGTTTAAGTCATGGCTGTTGCTTTGTGAAATTTATGAGGGAAGTGTTTGTTGCATCTATTTAGCAGTAGAGAAGCATAGAGAAGTAAAACGAACGTAAATTGAAATTAAAATACTATGAATTTAATTACTTAATGTTGTGTCGAATTCTATCCCTCAGAGTTCCTACCGTTGGACACCCTTTTATTGAAAAATACCCGGCATATAACTTCAAAGAAACGTTAAACTATTGTAATTTGGTAATATTACAGAGCATGTCAAGTATTAGAGAAGCAGGATTTGGTTTTTGTTTTACAATTGACATCCTTTTTCAGATGAGATATGGATCACACCCTAAAGCATTTTGATTTTCAAACCGTATCAGTTCAACTTTTGTATTTTCATCTCCGTGCTACTGTTAGACACCTGTGTTAGATAACCCATGTTTACTGTCTCTTGCTCTATTGTGACCCAGTTTCAAGCGCTTTTGTAATATACGTATTTTCATTTCTAGTGGCATTACTATATTCTAGTGTAGGTATATGAAACACCTCCTATACTTTACCACAGTAGACCAGTAATGTTTCTGCTTTACATGAATTGGAATTCTTTATTTTCCTTCCTGGATACAACCTCTTCTCTGGTTGCCCCACTTCCACCGCCTCCCCCATGTCTCTGTCCCTGGACGACTCTCTGCCTCCTCTCACCCTATAGCCGTGCTTGCAGGTACCAGGATTACCTCAGTCAGGACCCCAACACTCCTGTTACTGTCAACACGACGGACGACACGTCAGTACTCGCCAACCCTCCTGTAGGGTAACCCCGCTAGTGCCGTGCGGTGGCGGATCCCTTCCAACCACTTGGAAAAGAGCTTTATGTTTTATAAAATCAGCACATTCATTCAAATTATACTCTATTAGTAAACTTAGATAGGTGGAAAGTAGGTCATCATCTATAAACCAAGGTTAAATGAAAATCCTTAGTTCCATCCGGTCCTAAGTTCTCCTCAATAAATATTGAGGAGAACTAAGGACCGTATGGTCCTTTCATACAGTTGACCTCTTTAAACCTCTTTCAGTTAACCTCAGTCAAGTCACCATCAGGTTCGATCTTTAGCAAAGTCACTAAGTTTTGATAATCCTAGACTGGACCCATCTTTCCTATCAACAAATTCCTTATATCGAGTTCTCGATCAATATAGCTTTTACTCCTGTATACTGAATTAGACATCCTATCTACATTCTGCCATAGATAAAACATACTCCCTTACTGTGTTGCTTATGATACAGCTGTGGCAAATGTTTACTCAAATATTACTTAGTTGAAAAAATATATACCTAACAAATATATCTAACTAGATTTAGATTTTCTTCCTTATCTGATAAATGAGATACAGCAGTTGGTGTGACTTGAAATGTGGTAGTTTTTGGTTTAAAAGTTGTGTATTCGACGGTAATTGACAACAGCACACGCTGTCAATAGCTCAATTAAACTCCTCTATTAATTTTTATTCTGAAACTGGTCTTTGCTGTCCAGTGTGTTGGTGTTACTCAAAAAACTAATTTAATCCAAAAAAGATTAAAATTCATAAACGCTCTTTTCCAAGAGGTTTGGCTGTAAATATCTGAGCTCAGCTTTTCTACCTACATACTACACGTCCTCAAACTCTTCTGATATTGCCCAACTTAGGGTTCGTTGATTCTGCTTTAACGTTGATACTTTTCCTGACTGACAGTAACTATTTTATAATTAAAACTCCATACAGCACATTATATACCCTACACTATGTTTGAGGCATTTGGCCTACTATCTCTTGGACTCTTCAAGGAAATATCAATAAATTGAATGTAAAATACCTATACCACATTTTAAAAGCACATAAAACTACAAAATATGTTGTTGTCAAAGTCCCCACAACATGAAGATACAAAACATGTATTCAGGTGAAGGAAAAAGCGTTCAATTTTATTTTTTTATTTTTTTGTGTGTCTAACGTGTGTATGAAGTTGTTTGGTTTTTGCAGTTTTAAAAATTGCATTGAAGATATTCTGGCTTTTTTGTTTGGACTTGTTTGTGTGTTTTTACAACTAAACAGTTGTGTGTGAAGTTTTGTTTATCTAATTTATTCTCTCTCTAGCCATTAATAACAGTGCTATTGTACCATAACTGATTGATTATATTTTAACCTTGACCTCAGGTCCCACAGCCTAACAAAATATAACAAACGGACTTTGCTAAAATTATATACTAGATTCAGGTATTGGATTTGTAAGATACTCCAGAGTGAAAAGTCCTAACTAAGAGAACGGTACCCCAGAGTGTCGCGTGTAAGGTTATGCCTAACGAACATATTGTCAGACTAAGTACCTTATATCTGCTACTTACTTGTGGCCAACTCACGCTCGTTAAGTTCCGGAACTGATGAGAGCAGAATATATTGAGTGTTCTCTGAAGGTTATTCCAGAAGGCAGAGAGACAGCGTGTCATATTTATATTCGAATAGTTAGAACCATTTTCATACCTATTGACCATTCTAACATAGCAGTATATACCAATACGAATTGGTACTAAAAAGCAATAACTGACACTGAGCGTTCTCTAGTAAAAAAAGGTAATCTCATGTATTTTAATTTTTACCCAACTTTTACTATAAATTTTACAATATACTACAACTAAGCGTTAATAACAATAAGAAATGTCAACATTTGATTCAGAACATATGAAACTTTAAGTTTTGGCGTTATTAATCTTTGCACCAAATGTCAATACTCTACAAAAAGCTGCAATTAAATTAAAAAATAGTTTAGTGAAAACAAAATGGCGGCTGTATAAGTAGTTTTTGAGTTTTAAAAATTGTTAACGTGATATTTAAGTTGGTCTTTTTTGATTCAGGAATCATACCTCTAAAGGTCGGCAGAGAGTTCAGGGACACCCTGTATATCAGTATTTTACTTTCCGGCTTAATTTTTGAACTATGTTATATCATTGAGTATACACTATAAGAGTTGTCACATTATGCTATTAGTTGTTACCGATTTTGGCGACGTAGTTCGGGTCGCTGATGCTTGGGTCGCGGTAGTCTGTCGGTAGGGCAGTGCGCCTCAGAGGACCTTTTTATCATTTAGTATAAAAAAAATTATTATAAAACAACAAAGCTAGAAACAAACAAACGAATTTCATCAACAAAAATGACATTTTACAACCTACAATATAAGCAATAATAACAAAAACAACCAAACTGCGTTACCGGCAAGCCCAAGGTGGAGTAGTTCGGACCTCTGACGCTACTCTGTAACTGCTCAGGTAACGATAACCTCCATTGAGTGGCTACTCTAGTATGTGTACATACTCAATGGTTATATTGTAATCTTCAACGTAAAAACATTGCAATATTTGTATACCTCCGCCACCTGTGTAATTGTTGGTTGTCACCCAATGTCACCGGCGGGTGATGGCCGCAGGTTGTTGCACTGGACATCAGCGATCAGCTGATTACGACCCTCGCGTGCTGCGTGCTGCGGGTCGCGGAGTTCGCAGAACCCAGCCCATAATTAATCCGGAGTGATCTGCAACCTGTTATTACGACCATGGGGCGGGAGTGGCCCGACTGCTGCTTCATTATACCACATGCGCCGCTACCTCAGGGAGTGGCCACCAGTGAGGCTGAGGTTGTGTGTATTTTGGAGATTGGAAATATCACATATGTTTTCATTATTGTATGAATATTGACCAGTAGGCCTATTATAGGAGGGTGGATTTGTGTTCTTCCTATTCAAAGTGTCAAAATTTGATTACGAGTACGCTAACTTTGCCATGACATTGGTGGGCACTAGGGAACCTGTGAAACTTCAATCAAGAAGGCTT